TGGCCTAGTTTTGGCCCGGGGCTACTTTTTCACCTTTTTTCTGGCCCGACTAAATCGTGGTTCTAGGGCCAGGAACAACCAGGCTGAGTCGGGCTGAGTATGCTAAACTAGAGAGAGAATCGCTGGCAAGGGGGCTACAACTACAACAAGATGAACATATTTGACCGTGATTTAATTGTAATACACGTTTCAAAATGATGCCGAAGTAACAACATACTGATACCGGTTAGTAAAAACCATGAATTAATGCTTTGACAAGTCTGCAGACAGACGGCAGGCGAAAAACCCTTTTAAAATGCGTGTTTTCTAAATGGAGCTTGGCTAAGCTAACGTTATATATGCTCCGACCGTCCACACTCACAACAACGGCCTATACAGACATAAATAAACCAGCGACTGTATTCGCCATGACACAGGCAGTCTGTGGTTTGTACTTTGTACAACTTTTGTCTAGTTTCTGAACAGATATGAGGAGCTGTGTGCTCTGAGTGCTAAGAGCTAACGGCTGTGTTGTTTTTCTGGGGCTCTCATTTAAGATGACGTCACGGTTCCGCCTACACTGCGTTACTATAGTAACTGCCCCAGTTCCTAAACTGTAATGGAAGCGCAGCATTAAAGTGAGCCGGGCCTAATAAGGCCTAACCAAACTGAGCGAGGCCTGCAGTGGAAACGCGCCATAAGCAGTGGGGGAGTTTTATACACTAAAGGTATGAAAATTCTCTCGCGTTATAATATCAGCGCGGCCGCGGTCAGATCAAAATGCATCCGAATGCAATTTTGAATAGACCTACAGCCAATCAGAGCAATGAAACGTTGGGTCTGCTGCGTCATGCATTACTGAATCACGTTCACAGTGAAAAGTCTCCAAACTCGCGCCGAGTAAATTGCAGACAGACAGCAGAACTTCTAGGATTAATTGTATATTTCGGATGGATAGATTTGTTCTTAAACGCCCTCGCATTGAGGTACAACAAGTCGAACAGGCGCTTTAATGCAACCCTACAAGGATGGCTTCACGGATGTACACAGACTCATATGCATCTCCCTGACTCTGCGCTCTGCTGGCGGCGAACGCAGCTTCTCCTGTCTCCGTCGCATCAATAATTATCTAAGAAACAGCAGTGGTGATGCACGGAACAGCAACCTGGGCCTGCTGGCTAATGGCTATCAATAAGCAGAGGAGTAAGGCACTGGATGTCCAGCGTGTCATTGACATTTTCGCTTCCAACCACAACAACCGGCGGATCGTGCTGCTTTGAGAACGTCAATAGTGAGTTTTGAATATATTTTGTAATAATGGGTCATTTGAAAAAGTGGCCACCTGTTGTGTGCTGTGTCTGTCTCTCTCTGTTTACCTGTGTCTGTGTCTCTCTCTCTGTCTCTCCCTCACTCTCTCCCTCTCCGTGTCAATTATATATGCCAACTTTTCTTGTTTCTGCCGCTGCGTAGCATGCTGTAACAACGTGGAATTAGCAGAATAGGCTATTGTATTGTTTACTCACACCTGTTGCTCTCGATGTAATTTAGCTGATAAAAGCTAATAAAAGCCTCACGCGTGGCGTTTCACTGTCAATGGGTGCGATCGTGCGATATAGCGTGTATGTAATATTACATTAGGCTACAAATACTGACTTGAGCCCCACCACTGTATGGGTTAGCCCTACCATAGACTACCCAACAAAAATACTCTGGCGCCGCCACTGGTCGCTGTCATTGATGCGTTTTGCACCCCGGACCACTGTTTTGATATTCTGCTGAAGTCTACGTTGAGACGTAATATCTCTTCTTTTTTTTCGAGGGAAGGGGGGGTCAGAGGGCCTAGGTATAAAAGTCACGGCTCACCACTGTGTTTGAGTGATTTGATCATCAAAGGTAGGCCTACTGTAAGTCATTTTCAATGCGGGCCGCCGTGCCGACTTAATTCATTTGTAATTGTTACTTGGCTGTGGGTGCCCTGTCATGATAGGTGTTTATATAAATGGTGTTGTTTTGTGTGGTAGAGGGTCGCTGTCATTGATGCGTTTTGCACCCCTGGCCGCTGTTTTGATATTCCACAGAAGTATACGGTGTGACGTAATATCTCTTCTTTTTTTTCTCGAGGGAAGGGGGGTCAGAGGCTAGGTATAAAAGTCACGGCTCGCCACTGCTCGACATTATAAATGGCCCGCTGGCCCGGAAGCACTATTTAGACACCCCGAGCCAGCATAACGTACTTTCCACTTGCCCGCTCGGGCCACTAAAAATATTGTTTAAAAAAAATGTTTCCTGTGGTATTGGTATTTTGACTAGCAATTGTGTTAAATTGTTTAGTTTATTAACGCTACAACATAGCGTTTCGTGAGTCGCTTGTCGTTGTTGGGTGAAAACCAAACAGCTGTTTTCTGCAGAGCGCACCGTCACTACAGACTATCGCGCCACCTAACCATTCAGCCAAAATGTTTTTAATACCAGCGGTAACCGGCCAAGCGCCGGGCAAAAAACAATCTTCAAATAAAAGAAAGTCACCGGAGGAGTTAAAGGAGAGTGACAGGGAGCATGAGAAGAAGAGGGAGAGAACGTTTCAGCCAGCTTGATCGATGGAGTTGGCTTCTAGTGGTGCAGTGACGCATCCTAAAACCCTTTTATAATCTATCGATTAGATTTATGATTCAACATTTATAAAAGTAGGGTAGACATGTGGAGATTATCCGGCTGAACAAAACGTGCATTTATCAAACAGGTTTGTTTTCCACAGACCTTATTTCCAGCTATTTTCCAAAACCCTGTGGAGAAATCCCATTGCTTTTTGTCGAGGGAACCAGCAGCTTACTTCCTGGTTTTAGGGTGCGTCACTGGCTGCACCTCTCAATATGATGCCAATATAAACAAGGTCTTCTGTCGGCTCTAGTGCTGCGTACCGGTACGCCGAACCGGTACGCCGAACCGGTACGCCGAACCGGTACTGGACTTGTAAAAAGTTTCGGTTCAAGTCTGGTTAAAACCGGAACGTCGGGAACCGGTACTTGGACTCGCAAAAAAACTAGCACTTACGTATATTCTGGTGTCTGTGGTTATTTAAACATTCCCTGATAAACGTTATTCAGCGTCAATAAATGTCATTTCACCTTCGATTCACGGTTTGAAAACGTAGCATTTCGCCACATGCTAATGCTAACCGGAAGTGAATAATTTTCAGAATAAAAGTATTAAGTTAATAGTGTGAACTTCCGGTTTTTTCAGAATAAAACTGATTTAAATTAAATAGTGTATTTAATTCAAAATTACGCCATATCAACATTGATTTTAATTTCAAACAGTATGTACATCACTATGTATGTAGTATGTACTGTATAATGTACACATGTAGAGTTGTAGAAAATACATGGTGTACAGACAGTACAGTACACTCTGACTGTACAGTCACTACAGTGTAGCCTTTACTGTATAGTAGGTGTGTAACAGTGTAATGCGTATAGTCTACTCTACACTCTACCTTTCAGCAACGTTTTAGGGATTTAGGCTCAGTCAGCTCAAGGACTGTTTGGTTACTTTAGTTTGGTAAATTAAATAAATGTTTGAACTTTGTAGTAGTTCACTGTAGTTGCTGTCATAAGTCATTTGTAGACTAAGTGGACTTAGTAGACTAATTTGTACTTTGTAGAGAAATGTAGACACAAGTTGGAAGGGAGCACAATAAACCTGACGAGTTTGAATTTGAGTTGATTATGAGTTAATTTTCAATTGATAATTATCTCAAAATAAGTTCACTTTAGTTACTCACACAACTTGACACAAGCCATGGGTTCAGGTCCGGACTTATAAGTCCGGACCTGAACCTGAACCTCTGGACTTGAGTCCGGACCTGAACCTGAATGTGAGTCCAGGTACGCAGCACTAGTCGGCTCTGTACATCAATGCCGACCTATGCTGACAAGTGAGTGAAGAGTAGACAATATAAAGGTATTAGGGAAATGTCCCAGCAGTTTAGGATAATGAAGGATTTAATCTAATCTATAGCCATTACATTTCTAACTCCTGATGACAGGAAGGCAGAAAGTGCATTATACAAATAATAATACTCATAATAATAGCAGAATTTTTTTAACAATGACCACAATATCATTATTTTAATAAACCAAATATGAACAATTGAGGAAAATGAGGAAGAACTGATTGTTCAAATGTTGTAGTACAAGTAGTAATATAGTTAGTGCATAAATTACTATTGCAACAAATCTGTTAATTTTCTTCTTTTCTTTAGTCGATTTTTTTTGAACGAATGCTCCGGGCCAGTGACAATACAATTCCACCGGCCCGGAGGGCCAGTGGCTTTTTACCCTTAATGTCTACCCCTGTTTACGGAACAAAAACGGCAAATAGTCTTACCGTTGCTGTTTTTCTGACAAAAGTTGTGTTCAATGGCATTAAAACGATAAAAACGCAAACTGCGTGCGCATCACTCTAACTCCTCAATGTTAATGTGTAGGTGGATCTCCCCTTTGATTCTATTGGCTCTAACGGTTCAAAAGAGATGTCAATCACCAAAATCGACCAATGGGTTCCAGAAACGGCAAATCCACCCAAATAACCCCAGAGGTGGGTTTTATTTAGCTAAACCTCTTTAAAAAGGTCAAATGTCACTTATTTTGCATCAATCTTGATACAGGGTACTTATTATATGTTATAGTTTGGATTCCTAAAGCTTTTAGTCAACTATCCAATCATTCAAATCAAGGGTGGTTTTCACTATAAGTAATATTTTTTTTGTTGGACGGACTCTATAATTTATGTTCAATCTGAATTTACTTTAAAATAAAAAATATCTATATTGATTCTGACTTTTCTACATCCAACTCACAGGTTTATCATTGCTTTGAGAACAAATATTATTAATTTACCCCTTTTAGAAGTGAAGTTATAGTCATTTGTTCTGGGAATGTCATTTTCGAGCCTGAGACCTGAAAAACAGGTTCAGGGGTTAACAGGTTAAGAAATTCTAATGGAGGGGGTTTCTTCCTTACTTGACCATGCTGCGCGCTCCGTCGGGGTCCATGGCGCTGACGGAGCCCACGGCCACGCCCACCGCAGCATCCTCCTTCACCTCCATCAGGTAGCTGGCTTTGTAGAACAGCGGCGGCTCGTCCACGTCTTCCACGCCGATCCGGACCGTGGCCATGTCTTTGGAGCCCGCCGACATGAAGCGGGGGTCCACCTGCGTGTTCTGGACCTGGATCTCCACAGTGTAGGACGGCTTCTTCTCGAAGTCCAGAGGCTGCAGAGGCTGCAGAGGAGGAAGAGGACGTTGGTACAGTGATTGGAGATAATCAGTGTGTTGTTACATTTAATAGTTAAATGAAACTCTTTTGTAAATACTAATTTGATCATTTTTGGTGTGGTTATTAAATAAAATGTGAGTAGTTGTTTATGCTTTTACTTTGAAGGCAGCTTCAGGCTCTGGGTTATTTGATATTTTTTGGAGATGAAGGAGTGATTGGGCAGTTTGTTCACTCTCTTTAAACGGGTTGTAAAACCTTATCCCGACGAAAACATTTGGAAACGGGTCAAATTGGACCGAAGGACAACAGGACGGTTAACAGACGATTTGAACTCTATGGGATATGTACAAGACAGCAGAATCCCAATTGTCAGGAACTCGACTAGCCTGTTATTCAAAAAGGATTTGCTATTACTTATTATGTAGCCACGTATAGCTGAGCCAAAAAAACATAAAGAGCATTTCTATACTCTACATTACTAGTAGTCGTGAACCCATTTTATTTGATAGCTGAGGAGTTGAGCGTCAAAGACAGGATGTATGGGATGTACAAATACATCTCTTTTCTTGTATCATGACTTTCAGAATGATAAAATAATGAAAAGAAGCGGCGCACGCTGCTAGAGGGAAAAATCTAACATTAATAAAAACTGATATAAAGCTGCTGACAGATTCAATCTGATGACAAATGATAATAGTTTCTCAAAAGTGCAAATAGTGTTGGAATGTGTTTCTCGACATCAGCTGGACAGTACTGCATGGTTGTTTGAAAGCAGAACAAAGGCTCATATCTAGCTCTACATGAGCTGCCTGCTTCCTTTAAGGAATCCTGGAAATTGTCCTCATCTCGTATCCTGCTGACACAGTATCATTACTTCTTTGTGGAAGCTGGCATACTTTTCTTAAGGTTGTGTCAGCAGGAAGAACAAAGAATTTCTATATATCAAATTTGATTGTACATCAGTAAACAGGCACTCTGTGAGGACACTGTGATAGAAAAAAGCCCAAGTCCTGCTGCAAAGACTAGGATTTGGAGGGGGGGGGGGGGGGTGAAGATGAATACGTTTAATTTGGTTTCTTTCATCTGTCAAGCATGCAGAGGCTTTGCATATTTAACAGTACGTGTAAAACAGACTACGTGGGCAGGATCCCTATGAGTAGAAAGAGTGGGATCTGTGAATCACTGCTTTACCATTTATTTTATTTAATGCCGTGAGAAAAATATCAAGATAATTAAAAGCCAGTCCATTTGAATGAGGGCATCAGGAAAGCTACATATCTCACAGTTTTTTTTACAAAAAGATGCCCTTTGACTTCATTCTGTGATATTTTCTCTGCTCTCTTTTAGGAGCTTTTGATATCTTATATAATATGCCATGTTTGGACTTATTTCTTCCTAGTTTATAATGTAATGTGAGTTGTGCCTCACCTTGCCGACGCTGATGACCCCGTCCTGGGTGTCCTTGTCGGTGGCGATGTCGAACATGTCCATGCCGTCCCCGCTGACGATGGTGAAAAACATCTCAGCGTTCTTCCCGATGTCTCTGTCGGTGGCTACGATTCTCCCGACTGAAGTACCGGACTTGGCCGACTCAGCAACTCTGAACTGGTAAATACCTAAGAAACAAACAAACAAACAGGAGTCAGCTGCATGATATAAGACTGCTGCTGCTTTAACGTGATGCTACTTATCAATGTTACTACTATTAGCCAATATATACAATTGCTTATTTCGGACTTCAACACACACAGTGGTGTGATACCTTTAATAAGGTCTGTGGTTAACACAAGCTGAAGAGATTTTTACATTTTGACAAAACAATTCAAAATCTATGTAAGGGCTAACAAGTGACTAAAAAAGACTACGAAACTTCATCACGCTGAACATTAGCCACCTTTAGCTTAGCGGTTGTGACGTGAAGTCATGTGATGATCTAGTTCGTTTATAGCCTAAAGTTAGATTTGTTTTCTTCTGCCGGTTGCATTTATTCTTCCAAAAATCATAAAGTGGTGTTAATACTGGAGATTACCCTGCTGAACATGTTTTATCATACACGTGTATTTCCCACAATATTTCTAAATCCAATGGAAAAATCTCATTGCTGTTTGTTGAGGAAGCTAACTTCAAGGTTGGCCTAAAAAACGACATCACTAATGACGTATATTCCACTCTACGGGATGAGAACACATCTGGGCCAGGCCTGCCTAAAAAACGATGTAGCCAGTGGTTCAGTGCAGAGCGCTGATCTGAGGACCAAAGGATGAACTTTTCTCAACTTTTGCTAAAGCAACTTCACATAAGCACATATTCCTGCTTCGGTTACTTTGTAACATGAATGCTGTGTCTCCACTGATAAAGTTATTGGCACTGTGTCAAAAAAAATTGGCACAGTCATGTTTGATTCAATCACCAGATAAATAAAGTGAAGCATTTTCTAATTCTACAGATAGCGATTCATAATGATTTCCATAACATTCTGGATTGGTGTGATGGCTGATAACAACTTGCACTGAAATGAAATTGTAATGTAATGTAATGTTAGTGCACCTTAAAATGCAATATCAGTTAAGGTGTAAGCTATATTTAGAATATTTTCCCTGCTCTACCTTGCTCTGAAGAGTTGCTTGTTAACTGCTGCCTCGATCACTTACGTATCCAAACTTTGGTGAATATGAAGTAACCCTTTAAAACATCCAAAACTTACAAATCCATCGGTATTCTGATGATTGATCCATTGCAAGTGGGTGCTAAAGAAATCTACCTCGATAAAAGTGTTGACATAAAACATCAGTCCACAGTACCAGACCTTTGATTGCTGGGTTTGCCCCCTAAAGGCTGCTGTGCTGCCGCTTCATTTGTTATTGCCCATTTGAGACTAATATGTGTGCGCCATTTATTCCAGTCTGTCAATAATACACTACCTTGACATTTGCTCATTGCTGATTTGTAACCACTGAGGAGGGTTTTTACACATTATACCACTCAAGGTTTCTAAAAATGTTCCTTTCGGGTGTTTGGGGCGATTTGTCCATTAAGCCAGCAGTTAGCACTTCTTGTCTAATGTTGCCCTCTGAGGCCCTTTTAGGAAGCTATTGTGATTAAGTGCAGCACAAATAAACCTGACTTTACACAGAAGCTAGAACATAACTCTGTGAGTAGAGACCAATTGGTATTGATCAAGAAGCCTATCAACCCACCTTTTCTATTCTAAAAAGACCAGCAGTAGCTCAGCCTGTAGGGACTTAGCTTGGGAACCGAAGAGTCGCTGGTTCAAGTCTTGATCAGACCAAAATAAAGAATACGGAGTATGGTCGGGTAGCTGGAGAGGTTTTCCTTTTGGCATTCTCCCAAACAAGTCATGTGTTGCTGCCTATACGTTTTCAGACCATATGTGTATAGGTATACGCATGTGAGTATATGTTCTGTGAGTACAATGACAGTGAAACACTTTATTCTCCTGAGGGGATCAATAAAGGGTCACGTTCTTCTTCTCTTCTTTTATATAATGTAGTACATTGACCTTCATGTTATTTTAACACACAATTATAGACGGATGTCAGAGCTGCACAGGTGACAAAATGCTCATTACACACCGATGGTTATAGGTATTTTGAGGATGGATGCAAACCCATGAAACCAAATAACATGGAGAAAGTTTGTTCTTCCTTGAAAAATAAATGACTGAATGAATGCTGAGTGAAGAAACTACATCTTAGTGTTGTCTGAACTTTTGAAATGAGGTGAGACAGGTAGACACCAGGAACAAAAGAAGCATTCTTGTTAATGCTGATGGAAGCCAGTCGCTGGAACAATGTCTCTCCAACAGACTGCTGACTTCATCATCATTTAAAAATGCATTTCAAATTTTTTTGTGATGAATGTCTTTGTTCTCTGGAATAAGCGCTAACATTGTGTTCTGCCATCAGTTTATTATGGCAGTTTGAGATGGCTGGGGCTAAGAGTGTTCCTCCTCGTCAGGAAAGCCCGGTTCTGCACACAAACACGCTAAATGAATGCACATGAGATGTCACTCTGCTGTACGAACCTGGGGCAGTTTCATATCAGAAAACTTTCCTTTACTCACAATGTGTGTGTGTGTGTGTGTGTGTGTGTGTGTGTGTGTGTGTGTGTGTGTGTGTGTGTGTGTGTGTGTGTGTGTGTGTGTGTGTGTGTGTGTGTGTGTACACTCCATCTAGTGGTGTGTATAAAACACTTGAGTGGGTAATTATATGCTGCTGTGACACAGCAGGCGTCACACACCCTGGCAGCTACACACTACTCAACCTGCCACTGTTTTGGTGTACTTATGTGTGTTTGTGTGCGTGTAGTCACAGACAGAGGGAGTGAGATAAAGGATGTGCTAATGTGTGTACACATATTATCACACTGCAACAGCTGCAGTTGCCACCACAAAAAAAAGAAGCATTTCACTTGCTTCATGGCACATACTTATGCACATATGCTTCTCTGCTAGCTTGCCAGCTGTCCACTGAAATGTCCACTGAAATGTCCACTTGAGAACCAGTTCTTTTTTTATTATATCCTAATAATTACCCATACTCAGTGGTCATTTTACCCTGCAAACATATATGCTCAAACTCAGAAACTGAGGCCACAAAAGGCTTTTTTTACTCTACTATTCCAATACTATTAGTAGTCTTTTTATATTTTTTAGCAAAAAAATCAAACCAACAAAAAAGAAAAGTGGGAGCCTGGAGGAGAAGCACATTTCATCTTCACTCAGTTTTCTCTCTTGGCTCAGACACTGACAGCGCTGATTGAAGACGTGGTGTGAAGTGAAATGACTAACACGTGTGTGTGTGTGTGTGTGTGTGTGTGTTTGTGTCTGTGCGTGCGTGCGTGCGTGCGTGCGTGTGTGTGTGTGTGTGTTCTCCACTTGTATAAGAGGCAATTCAGTGTGAAGGACAGGGTTTGGGGTTAAGGGACAGGAAACATTCAGGATATACATGTTGATGTGTCCTCATACTGGTAGAAGTACAGGCATGTGTGTGTGTTAAGTGTGGTGACCTAAACAGAACGATGGTGCCACGTGCAATCTGTTCAGCAGATCCGCGGCTGATTTTATTGTGCACCCTGAACTGGAGACACAAACAGTAAGTGAATGGGTGCTAATGCTGGGTGGAGAGGAGGAGGGAGAAAGTGACACTCTGATACAGAGAGCGTGATTGAGCCAGGCAGAGATGGAGAGGGAGGGGGAAAACAATTAGAAGATGAAGAGATGGATAAAGAAAGCCAGAGAGCCGGAGAACGAGGTTCTGCCTTCATGTCAATTTATAGGGATTAGACAAGAGAATGACGGATGTGATCGAGGCCGGCAGAGAAGTACTTTACTATTTTACACTGAAACACACACACTCACACTATAGGCAAATACAGCTTCTTGATAAAAAGCTGCCACACTTCCGCCAGCTGTTGCTGTATTCAAACTTCAACTGTACAGCAGCACACTAACTTTCTACAGATGTTACTGCTGCTGAGTGACACTAGTATACAACATATTGAGAATCATTTTCTTTAAATACATCTTATCCATGTTTCACCAAGAGGTTTTTTTTTTTTACTAGCAGAACAGAGCAAGATAATACAAATAGCGACAAGGCTAACGTAACATTTGACACCAAGTGTGTCTAACAATGAATTCAGTATTGGCTAGTGGCTCATGCTAGTTAGCACCCTTAGCGGTACCACTTTACAATAAGACTACCCTTATAAAGGATTAATAAAGAGTTTATAATTAGGTTATTAATTAGGTTGTAAACACTTTGTTAATCATTAAGAACCATTTATAAACCAGTTCTAACATAGTTTTCATACATCACCACAGGCTCACTATTTGGCAAGATGACGAAGCCTTATATTGGCTACCTTGCTTACTTCGTCTTCTTCATCAGCCAGCATCCTTGGTATCTGTTGTTCACTGAGTTGATTCTCCCCCTTCCATCTTGATGTTTCTTGGCATCTCTTTATGACCATTTATTTATGAGTTACTAACATGTATAATTGCCAAAAGGGAGCCTTGTAAAGTGTAAAACACATTCCCATTTATTAATGAGTTACAACCATTTATAATTTGTTTAAGTTATATTAAAGTTATGCATAAATTAGGGCGTGGTCACATGATTGACAGGTCATTCCAGTGACTGCTGTTGTTAGCTTTCTGTCTCTCTGCTAGCTGCTCCGTGAAGCTACAGGGGCTCTGCCTGCTCAGCTCATCCGGGGAACATTATTTGAACTCGGCCGTGTTTGTTGTGCTGGTGCTTTGTGGACGATTCTTCATGCTTAAATCGGACTATTGTGACTCACTCTGCGGTTAAAACAGACGGTGCATGAATGCGGTTTTGCGGTAAGTGAAATTCGAGTACTTTATTTATGTGTTGCTTATGTTTTTAGTCAGCTAACGTTAATAATAATAATAATAGATTTATTTTGTTAGCGCGTTTACAGGTGCTCAAAGACGCTTTACAGATATAGTGAAAAGAATAGAACAACAAATACATATATATATTTAAAGTTAAAGTCAAATAATACAAAAACAATCACACATTAAAAGCCAGATTGAAGAAGTGAGTTTTTGTGAGTTTTTTGAAGGTGGTGA